AGATTTAGTTGCCATAACTCAGAAATTACAAAACAAACACAATACATGATACAAACTTAAATACAAATACAAATACTACTAGTGTACTTTTAATTATTACAAGCCACAAATACTAATTGTTCTTAATAAATTAAAGACTAAAACAAAATAAAATAATAGAGAGAGACTTATTTAGTAGCAGATACCGCACGCATTCACAGAGGCTTTGTCCAATCAGTGAAAGACGAATACTTGTTCAGGCAATCACGTCGATAGAAGGCTTGTGGATTTCTTACTTGTCTACTTGGCCAGGTGTGTTCAATTCTTCCACTATTTTCGTACACAAAAGCATTCTCTTCTCAACTACTGGATTCTCTTTCAATTCTCAGTGGTCTTGGCTCTCTTAAATTTCTTGCAGTCGAAATTTCTCTTTGTGCCAAATCAGGATATATAAAACCATAACGGATATTATGTTGATCCAAATAATTAAGCACTTTGACTCTAGAATTCCGAAAATTAAACCCTTGCTTCCACTTTTGATCTTTGTGACTATTATTCAAAGTATTCCACAAATTAACTTTATGAGTGAAATTATTAGGGTAAACGAAATTAATAAAACCTGAATTTGGTGCGATCGTAACACCCAAACGAATAGGAAATGACTCCAATTGCAGTTGTCCCGAATTTTTCCAAGAGGAGGAGCTCACTTCAAAAACACTATCAACTTGACTTTTTGATGGAGACCTATCACTATTACTGCACCTTTCAGAACCCAAAAATCTGCTAGCTTTAGTTTGTTCCCCACGTGAAACCTCACCAAAAGCAAGATCTCCTTTAAATGCACTGTCAAATTGCTCTGAACCACAAAATCCTTATATTTTATTTGTTTCCCACTTAAAGGTGAGCCTACCTCAAGACTTACAAATTTGACTTTTTGATAATGGAAGGCTTTCTTCACGTGCACTATGACAGTGCTTATAACCATAAGAAAGTTCCTTATTTTCCAGACCCAAGGAATCTTGAAAATTGAAGGACTCTCTTCCTTGATTTTGTGTTTGTAAATCACGCCTCTTTTTCTGGAAAAAATACGATCGTTCCCCCTTCTGAAGAAAATTTGTCCCGCAACCCGGTGGGAAATCATGAACAGCAGATACAATTTTTCTTCGAGGAAATAGGTGCCGTCGGTGTTGTGTATTACCACGAGAGGACAAGACCGCGGCTGGAGGATGTGACCACGATGGGAGAACATGACCACATCGGTGAGTCCACGGTGGAACGTGAGACCACGGTGGAGGCAGAGGACGACTTCGAATCAGACTTAAAGGTGCAGGTAAATCCCTTGGACTTGGTGACCAAAATGTGGGAAAGGGATCTGCACTTGTAGTTTCAAATTCTTGTGTAGATTCGGTTTTTGCAGCCAAAAATCCCGATTGAAATGGATTTTCTGAGGGCCTAATGGGACTGTCAAACCTTTCTGAATTCTGATAATTGTCAAATGAATTTGTATGATGAAATGGTTCAATTTCAGAAAGAATTTTGTTCTTTGTCGAAAGAAATGGTGTAGGGGAATAAAGTTCAAATTGTTGGGTTAATTCAGGCCTAGGTTCAAACGGGTTGTAGGATGGGATTTCGAAGGAGTGGGTATTTTTTTGAGTTTTGGATTCTACAGGAAAATTCTTAGATGACGATTTCGAACTTTCGATCAAAATCGTTTCAATATTCTCCTTGGTCACCAACGCCCTCTTCCCTCATTTCTTCTCAAGTTGAAACTTAAAAAGAACGTTGTTGGATTCGTTACTTGACGAAGAGGAAGTCTCAGATTCTGTTCGAGACGTCCTCGGATGAAAACTGGGCAAATTGTTTTGATTAATAAAACCTGGCTCTGATACCAATGATAGAAATTGAGTAGTTACAGAATTGGATGATAGAAATTGAGTAGTTACAGTATTGGAAACGGATGTCGTTGGACTATCGATTACAATATGGTGTGAAGGATATGAATAGAGTGAATATAGAATTGAATGTGTTTCTGACATAAATGGATTTACAAATATATAGATATGCAAGTAACCTTTCTGGAGAAGTTGTGTTCTTCACGAGAAGTTATAACTTCTCAGGTTGGAATATAACTGTTCATATTCTTTAATTAATTAATTAATTTATTATATTATTTTCTTTATTAATTAATTAATTTATTATATTATTTTCTTATTAATTAATTAACTTATTTCATTACAATCATATGTATATTAGTACACCAATGTTATGGTGTACCTTCACACATGATTGCACATATTGTGAAAACCATGTTATCATAATCATATTCCAACATTAGCAAGCCCAAGAATCCAACCATACCCTTGGTTGAACTCAAAACCTTCGAAAACCAGAGAACCAAGAACACGAAGCTCGGAGAAGAAAAACGAAGTGTTTTGGACGTCAGGACGTTGAGATCGACGAGTTTGAAGTTTGGCCGGATTATCGAAGGTTCTCCGGTAAATTTCCATGGATTTTAGGTCCCAAAACAGGTATGGTTGAGTTCTACTCGTCCTAAGCTTCAAACTGGTGCAAGTTTTACTGATTTTGGTTAAGAATTGGACGAGATATGAAGGTTTTTGTGTTTTCCCAGTTCCCGGTGAACGCAAAGGCAACCGGTGCCGACCCCGACGACCCAAGGTTAGAGACAAAGAATATTCAGTCAAGTTGACGGAATATTCCTAACATAGGGTAACGACATCAGGTAATTTGGACGGAATATTCCTTTATTTTGACGGAATATTCCTAACAGCGGTTAGGGATTCTGTTAGGATTCCTTACGCGTGGCCGCACGTGTTGCCGTGCACTTGCCGGCACGTGGGACGTCAGAAAATTTTTCTAAAAATATGGGGATGTTCATGAGGTTGTGTAGATCACGTTGATATATTCAAACTTCCCATTTGAGCAATGTATGAGAAGTTATTTCCTAGTTTTGGTTATGTGCTTTAAATAACGTTTATTCAGTTATTTCACATATAGGTGAGACCTATCCTGAGGACGAGCGCCATTAATCGAGGCTCAGGGGCTACGACCCTTTGACATACCAGTGAGTGGGCTTTTGGTTTTCAGTATATACCTATATACTTGAGATTTTTCCCAAAAAATATGTTTAAATGAATATATGTTTTGGAAATGCCATGCAAGTATCTATCTATTTTAATTATGCATTAGTAGTTGCATACATTCATGATTGGTGCTGCAGACGCACAGGTAAGTGCCAGGTAAGTTAATAAATCAAAGGTATGAGATTGTTTCGGTTATGTGAGATATGATGTGATGTATTGAGAGCTCATAAACCTACACCCTGGTGTTAGTGCTCCTGCCCAGAGTTAGGGCACATTCCTTCACGTGATGTTCACCTTTCGCACCATATGCTCACCTTAGATCCAAGTTAGGTGCACAGGCTTGTCGTACATACCACTGGTTTCGACTCGTAGGTGACTTGCGATCATTCGCACAACCTTCATGTGATCGTAGCACTAGAGCATATTTACTTTACACCTAGTCTTGTCATGCAGACCACTGTAGGTGGTTCCGACTCGTGTGTAGGATTTGATTTGATATGATTGAGATTGGTTATGAGCTATATACTTAGCAGGGCAGTTTGAATTAGAGAGATTTGGCTAATGCGATATTTGATATTTATATATTTTGCCTGGTTTACCTATAGCATTGCATTGAGATACCTTGGCATGTCATACTTATGAATATTGTTTTCTGAGCATGGTTTTGAGATATGTATATATTCTATATTTCTAGGAAAATTATACAGGTTTTACGGCGAGGGGTTAGAACTTTTGAGAAATGAAATGATTTTGGAAAGCTTTGTTTTTGTCCACCCACACTTTTTGTTTTACGCCCCTCCAGGTTTTAAGTAGAAGTGCTTGGTGGATCACGAGGATTTTGACGGGGGTTCTGACAGAACATCACCATGTAGGAACACCCTTGGGTGTTGTATTCTTAGTACTTGTCTTGGTTGACTGCATCTAGGATATTATGCTTTGGTTGTGTATTTCACACTTAATCTTGCACTTGCACCTTATCTTATCTAGTACTCTAGTTGATTTGATTTTTGTTGTTCGTAATTCCTTATATCTCTATTGCTTCCGCACTGTGCACATGGTTACGTCACTTCCACGTGACGTCCAGCATGCCCTGATTCTGGTCGGGGTGTGTCATTATGTGCATACTGATTGTTATTAAGAAATTGTCAAAAAATATATCACTTGGCAATTTTAATTTGTCACGAACTGGTTTCTTACGCATGTTTATTATTTGTCTTATTTCTTTTAATAAATTTGACAATGTTTGCATTCTCATTGATATAATTATTTGAAGGCGGATATTATCTATTCTTGAATAGTTTATTGCAATTTCCATATTAAACATATTTTGGTACATATTGGTTTATGGCATAAACTGAAAGCGGTGAAATGATTTGACTATTCAAACCGCATGGATGAAGTCTGATGATTATGGTTATTATAAACATAATCATCATGTGTACCCATATTAGTTCCTAATTGGCATTACATAATGTGATAATTTCTTATTGTTTTGCATCATTGCATGCTTGGATTTTTCCTGCTCTAAATTTCAAATAAATACTGGAAAACCAATGATGGGCTTTTCATGTGTTTTGAGAAACGCAGGGTGTCCATGGTTTCCAAATGGTGTGCATTTTCTTTTAGAAGCACATATAGATTCTAATTATATATGGATCAATGAATTCCAATAGAAAAAGTTATGACATATCCAGGTAGTGCCGTTTAGGAAGTTCTACATCTCTTTCATTGGTATGGATATATTGTAACAACATTGTGAAATTGTTGCCTGATATAGACATCTTGCATGATATATACATGTATATGCATATATGTACATTACTAGAAATTGTTGCCCGCACGTTGATAACAAATTGTATGAACAATATAAAAAATGTCTCATAGAAGATTAAATTGTCCTAATACAAACATAAACATGAATAAATGAAAAGTGATCAAAGTATGAAATAACACTTGAATCAAATGTATAAACAAAAAAATTTAAACATGAGAAAACCCTATACAATTATCTCTATTTGTGTTAAAGTACAAATAGATTGAACTCCTAATTATCTACATCAACATACCATTTCTTTGCAACTACTACATCAATATGTAACACATACTTCATTCAATTTGGGATTTCAAAACAAAAACTATTGACGCAAAATTCCAACACATTTTTGTGTTATAGAATATATTGAGGAGCAAGGCAACAAGCCACACTTTCAACTGAAACACCCAAGATTTTTGTGTTGAGCTCCGCAAACTCAGTGTGGCGGTCGTTGAGAGAGGTGATCTCTGCAAGGTGGGTTCACAAATTTTGAACAAATCAATCAGGTTAAGATAGACTCATTCAACATCAAGTAAAGATTAAAATTTATATGTAGAGATGCTGACTAAAAACATGTTTACATACATGACAAACGAATGTGAAGTCCAATGCGTAAAAAAAGAGAATCACATGCTTATCCCCAATGTACTTAGAGAGCTTGACCTGAAATCCAAAAACCAAATCTTCAATTGTAATGAAACAAAGGGCACATTAGTCATTTGAAACCCTTTCTATACAAAGCACTTCTGCTCTTGAAACCCCTTTTGCTAGAAATGTTTTTATTTGAAACATGTTTGAAGTTTCTATTAAAGTCCACATACTTCCTTGAAAAAACATAGAAATGCTTCTTGAAGCTTTTGGCAGGTGCTTCTTTAGAAACCATCTGGCAGGTGCTTTCAAAGAACCAAAATCAATTTAAATCTCTCAGAAGAAAATCCTATACAAATTGGAAAATCAAAATATAGCAAAACAATGCTTGTCTGATGAAAGAAAAAAATAGTAAAAGTAATATACCCATATACGCTGCAATAGGCTTGCTTTCTCAGCACTAAGTTTCCAAGGAACAATCGGGCCACATATAATCATGTCAGCATCCAGAATCACGACCTTACTAAAAACAAAAAAAATGCACAAATAATCAAAATTTGGGAATTATGGTTGTTTAATTATCTCCATAAATGGGGGTAAGGCTAGCCGACATTCACCTCTCCCAGACCCTGCGTAAAGCGGGAGCCTTGTGCACTGGGTACGACCTTTTTTTTTTATGGTTGTTTAATTATACCTAAAGTGTAGTAGGTATCGTTGGTGTTTATCGGCCTTCGAGAGAGTCGAAGACCTCGAATTATAGAGGAATGCAGAAACTGGGATTAATATTCAATTTTTCTGTATATAGGACACTTTAAAGATTGAGATTTTTTTTTCATTTTTATAGTTCTACACACTTTCTAGCCTTAAATATTTCTAGGAAACAAATAGAAAGTGAAAAAAGTCGTACCCGGTCCTAGACAACTCATGTGAGAGTTTTTAATCCAAACATAAAAAATAATAATAATAATTTTGACAACTAATCATTTAAAAATTCAAAATTTCTAAAACCTTTCGATCAAGTTTGGACTTACATTGCAGTCTATAGCTTTTCCAACCACAACGAAGGCAACCAGGAAACGATGGGAGCTCATTGACCATCGGTCGCCTAAAAATTGAAAAATTAACCATTTTTTAAAGTAAATCCAGGGTTCATGAAAATCCTGTGAAACTTATTAAGATTAAAAAAAATTAGGCAAATCAGTTTGTTCATATACCTCACTCCTGAGCTAAGAGAGCCGTAGGTTGCTGCTGTTGTTTTCGACAAAATTGGGGCAATGGTGGAGAAACATAGTAGGAGGGCTCTGGCATAGCAAATTGATGAAAAAAATAGAAGAGAAAATGTAGCACGACTTAGTAATTATATATGTTAGGAAAGCAGTGATAAAGTCCTGATAAAATACCTGCATCTTTATATCTTTCCTCTTTGATAGCTAAATTTATATTCTTAACCGAACCAAGTTCTTGAATTAAAGAATTTGGGCCCTCTGTAGCACCAGAAACAATATAACATATGATTAAACATACATAACCCAAAAGATCCATCCAGGCTAACCCCATGAATAAAACAAATTCAACCAGGAAACAAAAAATTAAGAACAACACAAAAACCAAAAGACACCCTCTTACAGTTTTAGCTCACTAACCCGTTGAATCAAAACCAATTCAATAAAAAAACATAAAATTAATAACCCAAAAATTAAATGGAAGAATTCTGCAAAAAAGACACTGTTGGGTATCGAAACTCATGAAGAGCTCGGAAATAATCAAATCAACATCCAATTTAGTACACACCAAAGCACAACATAAGCAAAAAACCATCTTCAACTCTTCAATCATTTATCAAACACAATAATACATTCATATCAAAACTCTCAATCATTTATCAAAATTGAATTAATTCAATCTTCATTGGAAAATCTTAGTTATTATAGAAAATCTACCATCTGAATCAGAATAGAAAAAGATAAACCAAACCAAATTATCCATTTCAAAAGACTAAAGCAGTGATGTAAATTATTAAGGGGGAAACATATAGGGAAAAGATAAGAACAAATAGCTTACCAATTGTGGCTATTCCCACCTCAAACAAAGACTTATATATTGGAGAATCAAATTGAAAAAGTCCAACATGACCCAAATTTACATTAACAGATAAACATATTCCAGAATAAAGAAAAAGATAATCAATGTCTTTCCAATAAGAAACCCAACAAACCATCCAACACTTCAAATCACTGCTAAAAAAATTCCACAGAACAAAACAAATCAATAACTTTTTTTGGTATGAACTGAAAATTAGGTAAACAAATTAAAACTTTTTTCTGATTTGAACAATAAAATGCCAACGGAAAATAAAATATATGCAAAGAAAATTAAAAACTGAAATATATAAACATACTAAAAACTGAAAAAACATTCTTACATTTTGAAAGAAAAACTCCAAGAGCTAAGAATACCCTTCATAACCTACTACAATCAAGAGAATCAATAAAAACCCATTTCAAAAAATCAAAATCCGTGAAAGAAAAACTGAAAATTTGAGGAAAAATTGAAATAAATAAATAAATCATCAGCTTTGACTTCAGAAGTAGTTGTAGGTACCTCAAAAGTGAGAAAAACAGAGTAAAGAGATGAGTGAGAGAACATGGGTGGAGTTTCTGGCGATTTTCTTGCTGAAATTTCCATAGTTGCCTGTACACCTTGAAGACCTTGTAGAAATATGCGTCGTACTCGACCTGTACAAAATTAAAATTTTGAAATCAAGGAATAATTGTTTGGAAATTAGGGTTTACACTGAAGAAAAGGTGGAGAATTTGAAGGACCTGTTGCGACGGCAATAGGGGAGCTCTCTGATTTAAACAATTTCTTGTCAGTGTTGTGGTGAAGAGAGCAGTTGAATCGCGTAGAGAAGCTGAGATTTGAAAGCGAAAGAGAGCGACAAAAAGGTGAATCGGAGAGCGACAAAAGCAGAGATTTGTGACAGAGAAAAATGGAATTTGAAGGAAAATTCGAGATGATGAAGTCGAAGCGGAATGTCCATCAATGTTGGACGCGTGGGCAGCTGAGTTTTCTCATGGTTTATGAGGAAGAAATCGAGATATTTCTACTAGACACCAGCAGGGCTAAAATCGTATTTTTCACTATGTTATTAAAAAAAGGTTAGATTTGAAGAGCAACTATAGGGCAAAAACGGAAGAACGTTGTAGAAGGAACAGTAACTCGTTTTCTCTTTTAGTGTGTGTGTGTGTGTATATATATGTGTGTGTGTGTAATTTGATATTGGATTGTGGGTCAAGAACTGCCCAAGACCTTTCTACTAGAATAAGTTACTAGCAAAAACGATGACTAACTAGTCATAGACGTCTATATGTTAATCCATTAAATTTTAACTTATGTGACAAAGGAAAATGAAGTTGTCCTTGAACTGAAGATAGATAAAGAGAGCTTAGCTTCATAGAGTCCCATACTTCTTAAGTATGATGAATGAGTTATTGATAGCATTGAAAGCAACCACAACATGAGGAATTGTGGGGGTACGCTTTTCATTAACAATTTTGCATTATATGTTGATTAAGTCTTGCTTTGTTGTGCTCTAATCATGAGAATGAATCTACAAGAATTGATTAATAATTTCTCTTTGGTGAGGCGTGTAAGTTACTCTTGAAGGAATGTAATCTTACTGTATAGTTAATACACAAAGCTTTAAGGGTTGTTTAATTTATAGCATGTGGGGGCTAAGTTCCACTACTCTTATATATGTCGATGCAAACTAAATGTTCAAAGACCGGCTAATACTATAGCACCGTAGGTTAATAACAATTATAAACTGATTATTGTGTATTAGTATCTACACTTAATGTTGAAGCATATTGTGAATTATATATTATCATGGATGTCTCTTGGTTGTTTCACAATATGATTTATTTTCCTAATCTTTTGAATTATAAGTAATTTGTTAGAAAGTTATTGAGAAATTAGCGTGAGGATTGATGTCATTGGTCACCAAACCAAACAAATAATGTTAAACTTTCTTCAAGGTGTGTATAATTACTCTTACTTTTGATATTTTATATATACTAAAATTGACTTGAGATTTTTCTTGAGATTAAATTTTCTGATAAGCAAAATAATGTGGAGTATGTTTGATTGCTCTTACCTAGGCCTGGCATTTTGGACCCAATCCGTTAACCCGACCCGACCCAATATGTTAATTTTTGTATTTGGGTGGATGCTTAACGGGTCGGGTCGCTAACAGGTGAACCCGTTAACAACCCGTTAAATAACGGGTCACTTTGGGTCAACCCGTTAGGACCCGTTAACACCCGTCAGCACCCGTTAGTTGAGGATATTTTAGTAATTTTAGTAAAGTCTTAATAACAAAAAATAAACTTTATGCAAAAAAAAAATAATAATAATTGTTAACGGGTGAAACGGGTGACCCGTTAGCTTAACGGGTTGGGTTCGGGTAACCCGTTAACTTAACGGGTTGGGTTGAATCCGACCCAAACCCAATAAACCCGACCCGTTTACAGGTCTACTCTTACCCATGTTTATGGTAGTGTGAGGCTATGAACGATTATGCACCTTAAATACAACATGTATTACAAAGAGTGAATATCATAGAATCCACAACGTTACCCTTATATGAGGAATTATGGGTAATATGTTTTTTAGCTTGCAGTTAGTTATAACATGTAGGTTTAAGAGCAATGACGAGCAAACATATGATAAAAAATTACAAGGAAATACTCAAAAATAGGACATTTTCTTAATCTTGGGACAGAAATAAGAAAAACTGGCCATGCACACCATGCACAAAACCAAAATTACTAAAATACCTACATATAAATACTAAAAATCCTCAACTCATTTTATAATTTTTTTTTTATTTGGAAGAGAGGCATGCCGAGAGAGCTCTGTGAGCTCTGGTTTATAGGTTGAGCTCAAATCTCTGAGCTCCGATTTCGAAGAGAGGGCATTCAAGGGTGAGGTTTCAAAGTGAGGGTTTCTCATTTGCATCAATGTACCATCCTTAAAGATATGATTTTGTACCAAATTTTACGTTTTGGCCGAAAAGTACCAGTTTTTTTGCCAGGGAAGCTTCGGCAGCTATATTTCCATAGCCATTTGATTTCGTCTCTCTCATATATTTCTCTCTCTAACATGGTCATTGTCTCCATTTTTGGAACTAATTATTTGTTTCTTCAATTAGGTTTTTGGGATTTGCAGAGATGGGAAGTCGAAGAAAATAGGGATAGGGAAGTGAGGGCTCGAAATGTGTTCTGGAAATCTTTATTTGTTTGTGGGTTTTGCTATTTTAGATTATGGGTTTCAATTTTGGGGTTCCAATCTTAGAGTTTTGCGTTTTAATTTTTGTTTTAGGTATTGAAGATTCATGGAGTTGTGTTGGTGGATTTGGCTTTGTGCGTTTGTTACAGAATGCGTAATATTTGTTAATTTTGTTATGAACTTGCAAATTTTTGTGAATTCGATCTGGAATCGGTGTTTATTTGAAAATGTTTGTGAATTACAAGTCTTAGTTCAATTTGAAAGAAATTGTACACGATATACACATGACATGCACATTTGTCATCTCCATATGATTTGCCATGTGCTTCTATATTGTTATCAGTATATACAAGGTGTTGGATTTTGGGTTTCAAAACATCCTTCAAACGATGAGTTAAAACCATAAGAATGGGTTTAGAAAGATGAAAAAAATATGTAAAAACCTCCAAGTTTCAAACTTATGTCTTGTTGAAACTATCAATGTATTATGACCAACTTGCCGGACACCTAGAATTCGCAATATATTACAAAATAGTTAGATATGTCTAGACCAAGCACAACATGGTGTAGGGGGTGTGAGATTTGATAACACACTAACTTTTGTGTTGGAAATGAAGCAACAACATTTGGAAGCATCGTTCAAGTTGGGGGACAAAAAAGTAATGGTAGGGATTCTTACAACTTTTGAAGGTCACATGCATCACATCCTTACCACATAAGCACCTTCAACACAATCCCTCTTTTACCCAACTGATTTCATCCTCATCATGGTAGACTTGTGTATAAATACACTTTACCACACATGGTTGTAATAACCATTAATCCCTAAAAAATTACACTTCTCAGACAGCCAAAACAATTCACAACACAAACATGTCCAAGTTCCCACATGAAACTAAGGGCTTTAACGCGATTGAACTCAGGTGGTACAACATGGAACCTCCTCCACTTCCGAGGACGCCGAAGGCAAATCCTACGTCAACGTTTAGCTCTGTGGACTTGGAGACGCCGCTGAAAACTATAGATCAAGTCCATGGGAAACTCGACCATAAAATGGCGTCGCCGAGTTTTGAAACCACAAGCTAATGAAGGCTGAAAAAGAGCTTGTGAATCTCAATGGTAAAGCCAATGAAGCGCTCTACCATGCAAGTAAGCAGAAAACGAAGGCTGACATGTCTGGAGAAAGGATCACATTCCTTTTTGAATTGTTCCATATGCATTAGGGCCATATTGAGTCATACGAGCGTTCCTAGGAGGGAAAGACCGAAATGGAGAAGGATGCAACAAGGACTTTAAGGATTCTCGACGGTTAGCGAAGGCAAAGGAACTACGTCAACCATAACGGGATTATATGACTTTTGATTGTTGTGCAATGTATTTATTAAGTATTTTATGATAATAAGTGTACGTACTACGTATCCTTGTTATATGCACATAACATGCACATTAAATGCATACCATATCCACATAATATGCCATGCACAACATATGCACGTAGTATGCACACCTTATGCAAGCAACATACACAACATATGCACGTAGTATACACACATCGCGAAAATTTTGTGAAATTTCTGCAATTGAACTAAAACACAAATTGGAACATACCCAATATTCTACCACATCAAAAATCAAATTTTGTTTACACACATTAGTGTAAACCCAATTGGCATTAACATGTTAGCCTTGGAATTTTGTTCAAGACTAGGCACCAAAAGGGATAAGACTTACCTATTATTCTAGGGTTTCATATTTTGGAAAATGCACCATCCTCATATTAGTGAAATTCCAAACTAAAAAGTGCAAATTAGATAGCAAATTTTGCGTTCCATGCTTTGTTTCTAAATGAATTGGTTGGCAAACTAGTTAGCACATTGACGAGACAAGATAGATGCACTGTAGATGTGGTGTACATGACCTTCATGTCTTGTCCTAACCTACTTGAGGTGTGCATTGCATTCAATATGTGTAAGATGTGCTTTTTCCACATGTCAACTCATAAATGTCCCAATGTTTAATAATAATATATTACAAAAGCAGTGAGTTTTCATTAATGTTTTGTTTGGGTACTTAACTTGACCCTAAAAGGTTTAGGAAAATGTTAATTTTTCCAATTCCAAATAATATGTTTTTCAGTATTCAAGATGCAACATACAGTGTGCATAAGCATATGAGATCATTCATCGTGCTTAATATGTGCATAGCATGTGCATATAATGTGCATAGGGAGGACAATTATTACTAATTTACTTCTATAATGGTATTGGGTGGTTTTATTTTTGGATTATTTCGTAATTAAGTAGTTAACATTTTGTCATGGGAAGTGGCACAGACATTTTTTTGATGGGAAGTTGCATCGTTTAAAGGACCCCTATTCTCCATCTATTTAAGTTGTCTTATGGGTGTGTTTCATTAAACCATCTTCAACCCTTGGGTTAAAACCTAAATTTTTTAACCCAGAAACAGTTTTTCTGCTCCAACCCTTCTGAGTTAAATTTTTATCCCGAGATTATTAAATAATGAATTTAGGATAATTTTTTCTTAAAATATTTTTTTTTGAATTAAACAAAAGTATGTAGAATATCCCAAATTAATTTTGTGAACATTTTAACCTAAAAATATTTAGGTTCTGATAAATATTGAAAAATCACTAAGCCGACACTATGAAAGAATATGATACACATGGAAGAATTTTTTTAATTATTTTAGTCGTTGGATTTAAATTTGGACTGTTAGATCTTTTTTTATTGTTGGATTTGAACATAATAGATCTTAGCA